TGCAGTCTTTAGCCTCCTTGTTAGTGCGTCCGCCTCCCATGCCGGAGACCCGGGTTTGAGACCCACTCGGAGCGAGAACGAGGTGTGGCAGTGAGGACCCGGGAGAGAGGGGTTACACACAATGTAGGCGATAGGGAACAATTCAGTCAGTGTAAATATGCTTTCGATTGGGGCAAATGAGGTCTGGTTTCGCGCTGTCACGCGAACTGCAGCAGTGCGCACAGTCTGATCCGGACTTTGGTTCTGGTCCAGAAATGCGATCGCACGGAGTGATTCATATGCGTGAGTCAACATATATTAAACACTTTTAAAACTACACAGCCTCAGCATGATTATGATCACTATTTTGTTTTACTAAGAGTTTCATATTGAATCTAACATAAGGGGGAAATCTATTAGACTGTGGCTGTCAAATGCGGCTTTACCGAGCTCATCGGCTCTGGCCCGAGCAGATATAAACAAAACGCTATTGGCTATTTTAAAAAGGGGGCAGGGCTGCTCGATATGTCCCGCCCTGTCTTCCTGTTTCAGTTGAAATTACGTCACCACTTAGAATAACGCTGCGTGTTTCAAGGCACTTCAGGGGAACTTTAAGTCTCCATTCTTTGTAATTGCATGAACAAATGTGACCAGTACACTTCTCTTGAATTTCACCTTTTGTGTTCAATGGAGGAAAGAAAGTCATATGGGTTTGCAGTGAAATGAAGGTGACTAAATTAAAATAGAAGTTCATTTCGGGGTGTACTATTCCTTTTCGAGAGGAATGGAAATGCAAAAAAAGGTTTTCATTTACCCATGAAAGAAAAGTGCTCTCATTCTTATATAGATTTTCTCGTGCTTTAATTATTTCACTGTGGTAAGCATATCATGCAATTATATGTCTTCTAAAGGCATTAGTTTTTCAACTCACAAAATTAATCTAAAAAGAGTAATTTTCTGGTATTCAAGTGTAGAAATTTTTATTTAATAAAAAGCCATTGTAAGAGTTGTAATTACATCACTGTAATTACAGTAATGTAATTCAAAGAGCCTAGACAAATGCAAATGTTATCCCTGCTGTTATCGTTTCTTTAGCAGCATCATTTTCATAGTTTGCTTAGTGAATGTTCTCACACGTCTTCATACTTTCTCATCAGGTGTTCCCTCTGGACCAAGAAACGTCATCTCTATTGTGAACAAGACCTCCGTGACTCTGGAGTGGCACTCTCCGCGTGAGACGGGCGGCCGTGATGATGTTGTGTACAATATTATTTGTAAGAAATGCCAGGCGGACCGTCGTTCCTGCTCCCATTGCGACGATAATGTGGAATTTCAGCCCCAGCAGCTGGGACTGACCGAATCCAGAGTCTTCATCAGTAACCTGCTGGCACACACTCTCTACACCTTTGAGATCCAGGCGGTCAACGGCGTCACCAACAAGAGCCCGTATCCTGCCCAACATGTCTCCATAGACATCACAACCAACCAGGCTGGTGAGTGATTACGTAAGGGATAATGTACATCCAGCCGGTTGTTATCTCAGAATAAACCCGACAGGGTGATCAGGGCCCTGGATCTTGTATCAGCCTGAAGGGGTTTATTCTGAGATAACAACCGGCTAGATGTACATTATCCCGCTTATTACACAGCTACTTGCCACATAAGTAAATAATTAGAAGCAAAATATTGATTTGAGTTTAAATATTTGAACGCAAAGCTTCCGTGAAGACAGCAGTTGCGAGCAAGCGGCAATTCAAACTAGACGGACATTTAAGGGAAAAGGTGCAGTGAAACCACTTATTACACAACATTTCACCACAAAAATAATTAAGGCAATAAAAGAATTAAGAAGAAAATGTTTTAAAACCTTACCAGTTTGTTAGTTCTCTTATAATCCATTACAGCGTACAAAACAATTGTAGCAAAATGGCAGCAGCTGCATTTGTATGAAACGAGAGCGAGTCCGCGATACCAGGATGACATAATTAAATAGTTGTACACCATTTTGAATCGAGTTTTAATATTTTATTAGCTAAACAAACGCAAAGCTTCCACCAAGAAAAAATAGTTCAAGCAAGAGTACAGCGCCGACTGCTGTTACCCGGATGAGCCTGTGTTATTAGCTTTTACCGGTTGTTATCGAGGGATAACATACCTCAGAATGTCGCGACTGACCGATCAGAATCAAGTATTCCACAGAGTCATGTAATAATTTATGATAAGATTCTGCTTGATTAAGCAAGCTTATGCAATCAATACAGTCCACAGCAACAGAATAACACTGCTGATGATGAACCAGTTTAGACCAGTTTACATTCCACGTTTTACAACGATCAATGCTGATGTGTTATTAGTACAAGCTAGTTAAGATGGTTATGTTGGAGATGCAAGGTCTTGACTGGTTCAGTATTTTTATTGGTTTAACTGGTCTTAATCATTTTTCAATTATTATAGCAATATAATAATCTTTAGTAATAGTATATATTGATAGTATATAATAATATATTAATCTTTCGATTACTAGTACAAGTACAAAAACATTTTTAAGCAAAGACATTCAGAATATTTATTTTGGTATTAGTTTTGAACTAATGTGATATGCTGTACCAGTTTTTTTTCTTTAAATCTTTCTCTTTTTTTATTTTAAACCAATACTATTGTGCCAATAGATTGTTTTTCCCCTTTTTATGTTCTGACACATACTCATACTTATATACTGTACGGTTTGACCAGTTAGGTTTCTACTTTCATTATATTTTCATTACCTTCACCAATCTAGTTTTTCGTTTCATTCACATTAAAAAGGCTCCAAGTGGTCGTTTGGCCTCACTAGTGCTGATGGGAGGATATTAAGAGTGAAGTGTTCAGTTTCAACATTTAGAGCTGCTCGCTGGACTGTGCAGGAAGTCAGAATAGAAAACATCACCTAGTTTGACCTGCGCTAAAAGATATGCATCCTCATCATTTCCTTGAGAGCTCCTCTTTCAGTTTTTGAGGGCAGCCCATCTTTCTCCACCTCCTTCACTTCCCGTCATCTCAATTTCCTGCTTTCACTGAAAAGCTCTACAGAAGCATCACAGCAGTTGGTATGTTAAAAGTTTGTGCGGATCTCGCCAGGACGCATTCGTCTGGTTCGACGCTTTCATCTATATCAGTGGGACCAGTATGAAAAACAGCCTTGATCGTGTCACTGTTCCTTAATACAGTCAGCTCTGAAATGAGGGCACCCAAAACTGTAGCGCCAAGAGTTTAGCGGCTTCCATCGCGGCCCCCTCCCAGATCAAAGTTAACGCTTGTGGATAATTTAGTGTGTGGGGGAGATTTCCATCCTTAAACTGTGGAAACATTCAGTCCCAGCTATGAGAACAATTTAAGTTTCAATGTAGGGCAGCATTTCGTTCCCTTTGTTCGTTTGGTTCTTACAGAACACAAGTGAAAATTTAACTAGACTTTTCACTAGAGTGGTACTCACTCATGCTGAAGCACTTCCTTTGTGGTTGCTAAAGTTTTCTGAGTGGTTTTAGCACATTCAAGTCAAAAGAGCCTACCCAAATATAATATTCTAATCTCTAGCTATTATTCAGGTCCATCTGATTGCTTAAAGCACAACTCTCCTCAACAAATCACACAATTTGAGGTTCATGTGTGGAACTTGAGTATTTGATACTTTGTTTTATGTTTGATCAAAACATAAAACACTTCGCTCTTCTTTGAAATAGAAAAGATATATTTATTTTTCTTTCTTTCTTTCTTTCTTTCTTTCTTTCTTTCTTTCTTTCTTTCTTTCTTTCTTTTTCTTTCCCCTCTTCATTCAATGAAAGTCAGTGTTTTCGAAATGTCTCTTTTCTGATATTTTGAAGAAGATATTTCTTCAGAATATCTTCTTTTTGGGTGAACGACCTCTTCAAACTATACTTTCAATGGAAAGTGATATAGGACAAGAAACTTTTTTTTTCTTTTATCAAAATCATATTTAAGTATTTTATATAGTATATAAAAAGTATCTTTGTCTTCGGTTAGGTTTATAAAGTATTAAAATTAGGCTTTTTTATTATTAATGAAAAATGACAATTTAAGAGTTTAAGATATAAAAACTAGAGATGCGCCAATACTGAATTTCTCTGCCGATATTATTCAGAATGATATCTGCCGATACCGATAGTTGGATTTTCTTAAGGAAAAAAATCTCTATCACATTTAAAAGCATCAAAATGGCATTCATTGTTTGAATTTCCTGATAGAATGTACAGAATTTGAAAGCTGCGACTTTAATAAACAAATGAATAAACATATTTAGGAAGGATATTGTTGTAGCATGTGTTAAAAACAAAGTGTCTCCCTCTGTCTCTTGAGGAAAAGGAGAAGAGCGAATGTGTTTGGGTTTGTTTGGATGTGTGAAGACTCCGTAGAGTCAGAAACAGTCGGTTAGAAGCCAAATGCAGTACAAACCTGCCAGCAGCGATATCTTAACATAGCTCTTCTGTTCTGTTGCTCTCTGTAGATTAGAAGCTTCGTTTTGGATTTGAGGCTGATTTTTGCTCTTATGTTTTAAAGTAGTGTCAGATATCTAAGATTCAGCTGCCTGAAAATAACAGGATGTGGAATATTGTTGGTGTTTGTAATATTTTTGTTTACCTCCCTTGATACTTCATGGTTTAAAGGCATGCCGATGATGAAGGGGTTCATCAAGGGACCTGCTGTTGGTTTGTTGATCAGTTAAAGCATTTAAATAAGGTCTGAGATTTGTTTTTGTCTTTTGTAATGATATAGGAAATCTTGGTGGGGGGGATTGTGGGAAATTAATATTACAAGAATAATTCTAATTCTGGCATCTCTTAAGGCCTGTTCACACCAAGAATGGTAACTGTAAAGATAACTACAATGATAACTATAATAGCATCAATATCAATGGACAATAACTTCTGTTTATTATAATCATGCATTGCAGTTATGCCATATGCCGCTTTAAATGCTCAAGCTTTTCTAAGTCAGTTGGATTCTGATGGGAAAAAACTGGATGATCGTTTTAAATTTGATTCCAACAATATCATTTCTCTGTGTCGTTATCGTTATTGGTACAGTTGGTTATTGTTATTTATATTGTTATTGCCCTTGGTTGTAACAACCCTTATCTCACTCACTTTGTACCAAACCTGTTTGATTTTATTTCCTCTGTGGACTATTTTCATCCTCTTTTCCTGAAGCTTTCTGAAAAAAATACTCAAAACACCATAAACGTATCATAAAAGTGGTTCATATGATTTGTGCACTATATTCCACATCTTCTGAAGCCATTCAGTATCTTTGTGTTAAGAATTCAGCCCTCAATTCCAGTCATTATTTACAAAAAAATATTATTATTCACCCTAGATGTAGCAAAGTTTGTTTTGTGAATGAATCAGATCAGTTCAGTGATTAATTCAATGTCTGAAGGATTTGTGCATGAATCAGACTGATTTGAGAACATTATCAGTAAATAAATGTACATTTCTGAATTTTCCTCACATTTCCTCATTTGGCTTTAAACAATACGGTTCATGAATCATGTGGATCACATTTAAGGTCTATTTTGTGTTGTTTTAGTGTCCATTCAGTGTAATTCCATGGAAAAAAGCAACCAGCACAGTCTTTTGTGCTCTACAGAAGAAAGTAATACAGACATTTGGAACAGGATGACAGTGAGTAAATGATGAAAGATTTTTTTGTTTTCTTCAATGTGAGGTGTTGTTCTTGGCTGTTGCCTTTTGAAGCGGGTTCTTCAGTACTCAGTGTCTCTTTTTCACTTTGTTTTGCAAAGGGAAACTATAACTGTTTCCTCTTATACTGTGATTAGTCCTGTCTCGATCACCTGATAGTTTGCTTGTTTTGATCCAGGCTAATTGGAGTTAATTGGCGTAATTGGTGCTCCGGTGTGATGCTTGTTTCCAGCTGAACTGAGCCGTTGAGCAGCAGTTCAGACATGACTGCACACGATCTGCAGCAGAGTGTCGTGTAATCGCTCCTCTCGTGACACTGGGAGTCAGAGCAAACAAACAAAGAGATCGTAACACGGAATCAGACACCTGCCGAGTTTTCCTCCTTCTCCTAAATGTACAAGAGCAGAACGACGAGGTAAATAGAACTGATTAACAGGCGGCTCTATTGGCCGCCGCTGGGCATGTATGCGTGACAGTTAAATGGTGCTCTTGACAGATAGATGCTTAATCAGTAGTTATCATTTTGGAGACCGTAATGTGTCTTTTGCCATTAATGGGCCCTTCCCGTGCGGAGGGGTATCGGAGGTAAGCTGTGATTGTGTTCTTGTACCTGAATGTAATGCCCAGTGGGGGTAGAAAGAGACTTAATGCATCAGGGGAAGTAATGCATATGCTCAGTCCTGCGGAGGTTAGGAGACTAAAGGTTTTCAAAATAGGCTTAATTAATTAAAGCTCAATCAGGATTTAATTTCATCCTTGAAAGCTGGCTGAAAGAGGTTTTCAGTAGAGCCGGTTTG